GAATAAGTTGATTTTATATTGACATCTGCAACATCACAAGCATTTGCTATGGCTGTATTATAGCACTGAATTGACTCCAGGGTAACATCACCCATACCATGCAAAGACCCTCTGGAAAAAGCACAAAAATAAGCACATCTTTCGCACTGTTTCACTGGAGGTGGCGGCTGGAGGGCATTGCTTTGATCGATTAAAGAGCACGTAAGCAAAGGAGATGCAAGTTCTGCATCTCCGTCGCGTACGTGCTCTCTAATCGACCGAAAGCCCCGCCCTCCAGCTGCCAATTCCAGTAAAATAAAGGGTTTACACCATTACCGTGATAAATAAGTAGTAGACGTAAGATAATTAATGGTAACCCACCTCAGATCTCGTAAAACTGTATCTAAATTTGCAGCGACATCTTTCGCATAAACTTCCAAATCATCGAGAATCTACAAAGACTATATTAAAAAAGCGAAGCAGAAAAATATAAGGGAAAAGATGTTGCGCAGTGCTTACCCTAGGATCCGGTACTATGGGAGCTATATCACTATCATCGGGCGAATCTCGCGCCCTACTTCCGGACACTCGACAACTTTCACGAATGCGTTCTTCTAGGTCAGCTGCCACGAAGGTTGTCATTCCTTCTAGTTCAGTGCCGCTGCCTGTGTCGTCTCCTCGGCTTGACGATGTCGATGGCTCGGTTGAAGACATTGCCTACCGTATCATTGAATGAAAATGCCTGCTTTTCACACTTACAACAAACGGAATACAAGGTTATAACCAAAATGTTTCGAAATTGCTATATACGATCTTTATCAGAATATATACAATTAACATTCCTTAACAGAAGAAAAAAAAGCTCACAAGATCCTTAACAGAAGAAAAAAAAAGCTCACAAGAAGGACACTTAATTTGAAAAAAAAAACACAACAACAAACAACAAACTTGACAGAAATGTAGAACAGAATCCGAAAAAGCTCACCGAAAAAAGAGATCATAACAAAAACTGGACTACAAACCTAAGCCACCATAATTATCTCACTGTAGCATGTCAATATCTTCGCTAAAGGACCGTGATTCTGGTGAAGGCGGCTGGTCACCATCAAGAATCTCATTATGCCATCCTGACACATTCGATCTGTTGTCAGGCTGACGTCTTTTGGAACGCTGATGCCCAGAGATCATTGCTGGTCCGCCTTTCACAAACGGTGTAGCCATGCCATAGAGTGAAAAATAGACGTCCATCAACAGCATGCGCACACGGGTTTCCTAAAATTTGCAGGGTTTTCGGCAAATAAAAGCTCGGCAGTAAGTTGCAGCAGTTGAAAACAATCTAATGGAATATGAGACGAGACTTACCAGCGTGGTCTTGCTCATGAGTGACCATAGCTCATCAGCAATTTGCACAGTGTTGCATGGATTTGTTGGGCCAGTATCCGTACTGAAATGATTCGAATGGCGCAACGAATTTTTTTCCAAAAAAAGCCGGACCATTCATGAGCGCTGAAGGGTGGCATCTGCGCCAACAAAGTAGCGATATGCAACCGGATAGCAGGATCGGAATCTTGAGCAAGCATAGAAAGCAGTCGCATCAAATCGTTCGTGGATTGCTTCTTTCGCGAAATAGAAAGCCTCTCGACAATGATGTGAAGTGCCGCTTTGCGCATCTGCATGAAAACAACATTTCGGTAATGGGAAAGACAGCGAGATTGCGGAGAAAATTTACATCGAAAAGAACTTACGTTCACACACAGCTTTGGAGCTGCAAACACCCAGAAAATTTTTGAATCCGACGGAATGTGACCATTACGTTGCAGCTAAAAGGAAGAAGTTAAATCAAGGATTTCTTTATAACCTCTAAAGACTCACATTATGTATGACAGAGAGTGCTGCAACGCCTACAACATGACGGAATGTTGGTTTGATAGTATCCATGTTCAGGGCATGGGTTGTCTCCTAGAAACTCTTGATAGAAAAAAGAAAAATGGATAAATAGAGATAAAAGAGTCAAAAAGTAGTAAACAGTACGCATACCTCAACAACCTCACTCATTTCCCAGCTAAGAGCATCTGGTATGTAATTTCCTCCTCCCAGAGTGCTCACTGGAGCTACACAAGCTGCCAATGCATTGAGAAGAGATGCTCGGTAATGATCGTCTGCATATCTAAACCGCCGCTGTAGGTACAAATCCGATAAATTTCCTTAGCCATAGACGTACCTATTCATCGTATTGTCGTTGTACCGTATATAATCCACAATGAAGCACTGCACTTCCTGTAAAGCCATGCCATTCGTTCGCATTCTAGCCAGTGCTTGTGGAAGAGCCTAGAAACAAATCACGTCCTCAAGAAGCTGCGTATCATGCGTATTAATCCCACCTGCTGCAAGAAGTACTGCTGCAGATTTTGCGAAGTAACGACAAAATTATTAGATCGTGGCAGCATGGGACACGACTTTGCTCCATAAATCTTTCTAAACCATGTTTCCATTTACGAAGTTTACTTGATAAATCGATCCAGAAACCTCAGTATTCACCTGTACAGACTTAAAAGCGCAGGAACACCGGACCACGTTTCCGGCATCTTATTCAGTACTTCAGTGAGAGCATAGGCAGCATGAATTCGCACCCTTGAAAAAAATTAAGAGAATAATTCTGCAAATGCAAAACAAGGTTTTTTCTTCAGCATATTCACCTATAGAAGAAATTATCGTTGGTGATGGTTTCAAGCAGTACGTCTCGGCTTTGAGGATTCGGGCATAACTGTAGCCGATCCAAAGCCTACAACAAAAGCGAAAAATGACAAATAAAGCTCAATTGAAAACGACAGGAAATTTACCTGAAGCTGGGCGAGAACATCCCTCTCATAACGTAACATGTACTCCCACTGATAATCCGGCTGATTGATCATCATGTTGCGTATTAGATGCAGTTCAGGGTCAAGCCTAGATGATAACGGCATATAGAGTGTACGAAAGGGGCTTCGAGTCTACCTTATCCATAAAACAGGTGAATCTGGGTCCATATTGCTTAGATCTACCTCCACATCATCTCCAGAGTAAAGAGGAACCCGTTTCTAAACAAATGTCTTTGGATGAGATAGCAGAAAGGGCATGTCTACCTTCTTCTGTCGTCGTCCTTTCGAATGGCATTGGAGGTCTGCCCTTGAGATATCGCCATCTATCTGCACTGTATGGGAAAAGGAACCATCGAGTTCTTGGACCAAAACCGTGAGCGGACCAACATATCTGGCAAAAACTGATTAACTTGTGTAAGCTAATAATATAGCTTACCTCAAACGTCCATTTGCTGGCTCCACCTTCTGCCTGACCTCCAGTTCAATCATATTACGTTTACGGTTGAAGACATATTGTACCTAAAAGCAGAAACTGAGATATTTGGGTACCTAGAATGAAAAAAAGGCTTGCTTACCCTGAAAGAAGCATGACCTCCGTTATGAATCCACTGTTCCACAAAAGTTGGAATCTCCTGCCCTGTCACATTTGTGACTGTCCGGAAAAACGTCTCAGTGGATACAACTAGATGCGTCCAGGTGGCAGGTCTATCACGTCGCTCAGCCATTTGCTGGCCAACGGAGAGAATTTTGTGCAGAACCTGAACATTATGACTGGAGAACCACACTGAGAAACAACATGTATACCTGGAAGAAAGGTTCGTGTCCCAATCTTTTGCTAAGCATTCGCATTGCCAGATGTCCCTTCTTCGTCATAGTTTCAGCATAGAGCGGAGAGCACGTATGCTCACAGCGAGGTTCACAATGCAGATTCAAACGAGGAGTAGCCTCTATAGATGGTCTCAAAATAACCTGAAAAATTGCTTGACGGAAAACTTTCGCAGATACCAAGGGAATGAAGGAGAAATCAAGACTTGCACCCACTTTTCCCCATTGCGATTCATAATCGCAGACAGCATTCAGCAACTTCTTAATTTGGAAAAGATATTCGCTAGTGCCAAACATCTTCTCGATATATAGCGACGTGATAAACCTGAACAAAAATGGAAGACCGGGGCATAGCTAGATCTCAAACTAACCTCGACAGAGACTTTACAAGCCACCAATCTAGGAAATGCGCTGGCGATATAAAACAACCAAAAAATTGCTGAGCTGCACCAAGTGCCAATAGCTGCCGACATTCCTGTAAAAATTACTTGATTTCAGTGTTACTACGTCGAAAAAAAGAGTTCATACCTGGACAGCATCAATAATCTTCTTATGATGAAGTGTACTTATCGAAAACAGAGTTAAACTGCTATAGCTGGTTACCTCATCAGGTATCTGTAGAAAATCTGAGCGATCACAGTCCATCAAAAACTAAACCTACCATGTCAACAAACACTTGTTTATACGTTGGATATGGAAATCGACACGACAAAAGCTCTTCAAAATACTCAAGTATTTTATCCAATGGGGTTACAGTATGCTTTACCAAGGATAGAAGCCCAATGGGCGCGAAGCTGGTAACCTACAAAAACATTTCGATATCAAGAACACAATCGCAATGCTTCTTACCTCAGCCATATCCGGTAGCGCATAAGTGGAGAACTGTCCGATGGCAAAGCCAATGTTGCAAGCAGCCGTTGGAACCAATTGTTGGTAATTCCATGTTCTCAAACGCTTATCAGCATTGGTATCAAATCCCTGGAGATTGACAAATTTGAAAGACTGCAAAGAATCAACGAAGAACTTTCTTACCACTAAATCTCCACTTGCTACCGCCGTAAGCCAACTTTCACAGGTGATGTGAATGCGCCACAACGCGAGCTGGTCAGGAGCGTCCACACATGGAAGCCATTCGCGTGTGCCTGGATCATATTACTTGCATTTTTCAGCACCAAAGCGCCTAGGACCCACTTGTCAGAAGAGAGCTTCTGTAAGTGAAGACATGTGGCCCTTTATCCACAGTTCCATCCGCCGCCAGGTTGTATACGAATTGAATACCCTGTAAGGGTAGGAGTTAATGTAATGAATAGGTTTCTTGTGACCTTCTCTTAACACTCCAATTCGCTATCTGAAGATCTAAGTTTCACAATAAAAAAATGAAAAATAAGTCTTTTTAGAATGGTGATAGTGTTGGTACGATAGCGACATGATATAGTTTACGATATGATATAGTTAGTGACATGAAGGGGAAAGAAAAAAGTGTACTAGAAAATAAATTTCGCCAAAGCAAAAGCTTGATAGAACTATAGATAAGAAAAAAAGTCAACAAGGCTTGTTACTAATGAGGGTCTTGATATGATAGGTTGATAGCAACATACTAACCTGGGTTGGCTTCTTTACAACAATATCGACAGCAATCGTGATGCATTTCAGCAACTGTATAGTTAATCTGAGCGGGTCAGGGATAGCAATTTCCAAGAATGCTAAACGAATCAGATTTATTCTCCCCCAACAAGCAGCAAACAACTTACCATCTTTCTCCTTGACTGATTCATGGTATCGCGATAAAGCTTCCATGATAGAAGGATTAGCTGCATGTCCAGCAAGCTGCAAGTCAATGAATTCAACCACAATTTTTCTGGTTTCGAGCTCACCGTAGGTTCAGGAAGCCTAGAGTATAAGCATTCCACTCCATTGATGGTTATCCTTCCGTTGTGGCCTTCGCTAGGAAGGTAAGCGCCTAAATGAAGGTCTTGATAAAAAATAGAAACAAACGATTCATAAGAACACATGACAATAAACTTTTACAAAAATAAATTTACAATAATAGGAGTGACTTACATGTTCCCAAATGCAAATGTATAGTTCTTAGGTCTGATGATAAAGGCAATGCTGTGATTTCTGTGTGAACATTGAATGACTCCCCGGTGAACGATATGTCGGAGATAACTACCTGAAAGATAACGAATCTGACCAGAATGGTACATGCCCGCTATCAACACATCCACGACACGGACAATTCACCAATTTTTGCCTTTCGGGCACGCGACGCACTGGTATCTACTTCCTCGCGTCTTTTTTTTTCAACCGCCGATGGATCATATGGTCCGAAAGGTGGTTTTCTAATTAGGGTTCCCCTAGATTGTACTTCCATCGTGAATTTGCGGTGCCTAGTAGTACGAACCCATTGTGGGTCGTATGTTCAAAATAGCGATTTACGTATGATTCACCGGTGAGTCGTATTGTCGTGAATGTGTTAAACAACAAAATATTAATAGACAGGTAGAACGTAGGGAAACTCACAGTCTGCGCCAAGACGCGAATTTCTCCTCGCACTTCAATACCAGGTGCTGCTTGCAGCTCATCATCAACTTCACCATTCGCTGCACCTCCACCTTCGCCCTGTTGCCCTTGCTGGTGTCGCTCTCCCTGCAGAATCTTCAGACTTTATTATTCAAGTAATAGAATTCATCTCTCACCACAGCGTCATTTCCATTCACTTGCGCCTGTATAGTATATGGCGCTACACGATCGAGAACAGGTGGTTTGGCGTCTGCGCCATTCATGGACGTCCAGTCCATGGCTGACGCCTCTCGCTTCATCAGACCAACGCCTACAGCCGAAATCTAAGAGAGATTAGCAAAAAAATGTAAATTTCAAATATAAAGCAAGTATGCCAGGGCAAATAACCTTTTGTTTCAACAACCATCTTATCGATAGCTTTTTATTCATATGCAGTGGAAACAACGATAAACGAATCAACAATGAGGAAAATCAACAACTTTTGAACAAGAAAGTTCAAAAATTCACAGATCTAAAGGAAACAAAAGTCATAGGCACGCGCCATACTTGATCCGCTTGATCCGTCATCCACTTCGCTATTGGTCAAGTCGGCAAACTTACCAATGGCGAAGTGGATTGAGCGGATCAAGCGGATGAAGCTGATCAAGTAAAACATCCGCTTCGCTA